AATCTCAATTTGCCTAATTAGTCTATCCTTTGGTGTGTTAGTAACTATGAACAACGCATGTATGAGTCTGTATGTTCTATCGCCTTGTCTTAATGCTTTTCCGTGCATCACCCTGATGCACAGTTTGTTAAAGCTTGCAAACAATTCGTGACTTTAGAACCACATATGTATGGTTTTCATGACTCACTTATCTGGTAAACACAGCAATGTCATGACCTTCCTACTCACAAATGCTTACTGCTTCTATAAACCTAGACTGTTCAAGTAGACTAAATTCCCGAAAAAGTAGAGAAAACAAAGGCAAAGAGGTAGCAATGCTTCACTGGGAAAGCCGATTCTCCAGCTTGATTAGAGTCTATTCCATCTTCTCTTTATCTTCTCTCATGCTAATATCTGAAGGAACAGAGCATATAGTTGGCGACAGCAATGGATGGGAACTCTTTACAAACTATACCACCTGGACACGGGGAAGAGAATTTCATGTCGGTGATGTCTTAGGTAAGTTTTCTAACTGCAACACAAGGATTCCCAAAAACAGCACAACCAAAGTTATAATCCCATCTCCTATAATACCTTCTCACCAAAGGCTAAAGATGAATCATGTTCATTATGTCTCTCTTCTTCAGCAGTTAAGAAAAAAAATGAATGAATTGTTTCAAATTCTACCTTGCTAAGTATGTCTCTCTTCTTCAACAGTTTTCAACTACGACGGAGACCAGCACAATGTAATGCAAGTTAACTCTACAGCATACGCAGATTGTGGAAGAGACAATTACACATCTATCTCCACCAAAGGCAATGACACAATACTCATATCCGAGGTTGGAGAGCTCTGGTTCATCTGCGGAGTGGGTGATCACTGTGAGAATGGCCAGAAGCTCAAAATTAACGTAGCTCCTTGAGTACCGTCCGTTTATGAGTGATTATCAATGATACGTAGCTTGTTGTTTGGGTCGTCTATAGTACCAAATAATGTCATTAACTTGGATAATAGCATTTGAATAATATATACATGGAAATCCATCATCTCTTGATAAACTCACAACCTATATGCATACTTTGCCACTCTCGAACACCCAACTTTCTACCTGAAGAAAGAGACATTTCTTGCAACCGTCTAGCAGAGAAAACAAGAATATCCCTCAAAATGACAGAAACGTAGAGAGCTCTCGGTATGCATCCAATACAACTCTCAATGACAGAATACCTCTATGTCACATCTACTTCAACAGCTTTCTTTTGCAGATTTTCAATCCGGGCCTGCAAGAATAGTTTGTCTCAAAAACACTAACATTCTTTTCTGTGATTTGTCTCAAAAATACGGTTTCAATTATTGCAATCCGGGCACATCATGAAACAAAACAAACCTTGAATGATTTCGATCTGCGAAGAGACGGATCAATATCCAGACATTTCAAGTATGACTTCTCAGCAAGATCATATTGACCTTTTGCTACGTAGAGATCACCTTGGCAAATGTAGGCCTGGTAAGTAGAATTAACATATGCAAGCTTTCAAACATGAACATACAAAACTCCAAAGAGCATCATCTTTGAGTATACCTCGGAGTAATTGGGAGCTAATGCCAGAGCTCGGCTTATATCTTCAAGAGCCCCGTTGTAATCAACCATTCCCAATTTTGCTACTGATCTGCAATCACCAAATTCCAACAATCTAGTCACAAGTACAATCTATGAAGAAACAGTACCCAAGAGATCAATTCGGTACCTACCATTACCTGTGTTTGAAGATTCTATGCAAGCCACCGTAAGGTTTCAGCTCTAAAGCCTGTGACAATACGCATCATTCGTCAAGCTCCAGAGAAAATGGAGAGGGAAATCGAGACAAGAATATACTCTAGAAACCTGTGTGAGAATTTCTTCTGCCTCTGGGAAGTTTCCAGCTTCGATTTGGGAAAGAGCATTGTTACTGAGCGCTAAAGCGGCGAGAGCGTCGGTGACGGCGGAGGAAGAAGAAGCTTCCCGGCCGTCGCCACAGAGACTGGACATGATTTCAGCAGCTCGAGAAGAAGTGGCGCAGTGACGGAGAAGGAGGCCTTGAGGGAGAGCGACGAGGTTTGGACCGGAGCCGCATCGGCCGAGGCAACCGGTTGGACTGACTCGGAGATCGGGAGGTGCGAGAGCCGTTAACGTCTCGAGAATCTGGAAGGAGCCTTGTTTCCGGCAGGTGCGATTCGTACAAACGCGAAGCTCCTTCATCGGTTCTCCTGAACTCCGGCAGCTCAACGCCGGTAAAGCAACGGAGGAAGCCATAACGATAAGAATAACGACCACGAGAAGACTTTATTCGATTAAAGATGGTTTTTAATTCGGTTTGACTAAACCAGATTTCACAATTGTACCAAAAAACAATCAACGTCCCACAATTCATCCCATTACACAGATAAACAATCAAAGCTTGGTTTTTGAGTATAAAATGGGACGAAATTACAAATGCTTTCACATTTAAAGTGAAAACTTCGTAGGTTATTATAGCATAAACTGAGCTGAACTGAAATTGTAATATGATTTGAAAACAGCAAAATATGTGTACTTAAGCAACAATTAGTAGTTAGAAGAAAAAGTATCTTAATTAAACAAATTGATCAACTTGCATATATCACTAATGAATTAACCTTTCAGCCATCTTATAGATTACAATGAATGAATCATTGAGCGATCTTCTATATTAACAACCACTAAGCTTTATACGTAAATTAATTACTAATGTACCAAACCAAAACAAGAAAGTAGAATATAATCTAAATGATGTAACTAGACTGAGGAGTGTATAAGCAAGAGCACGATGAAGACCATTGTAGAGGTAAAACAATTAGTTAGATTTGAAGAAAGTGATCTTCTTTCCCTTTTTTTTTTTTAAATAGAAGAAAGTGAACTTTGTTAGAAATTTGTTACGGAGGGCAGGTGTACATTTTAGAGATCATAGTTTGTTTATGTTAAGTATTCGATAATAGAAAAACAGTTACAAAATAGGGTCTAATCTTGGTCTGCAAAACAGAGAGAAGAGAGTAGGATCTCCTCGCCACTCTTTTGCTCTTCTGGTTTGAAGCATAGGAAAACATTAGGCTTAAAAAAGCCGGCTTGGAAGCGGTGCCTTTTCAGAGCATCAACAACAGTTTGGAAGCCCTCGTCTTCTGAGAGTACTAGCACACATGATGGATTAGTACGAGCGTGAGCGCTTATTGTCGGCAAGAGAGTGGTATACGCCATGACAGTAGATCTGAWAGCTTTAACACCTCGGACAAGTATATCATATCAARGTAGTTAGTTAGTTTACAATCTTTTAYACGTACAAATAGATAGAAAATAGAAGAGAAATAAAGGAATTCACCTGGCCCYACTAGTYGGAAAAATATTCCCGAGYAGGCAAATTKATCTTCCAGATGATCGTCAACCGAATCGAAATCAATGAAAGCCCATATTGAGTCATCCCCATAATAACCTWTATCTAGAAGAGCTGTTCTGATTTTGTCAGCAGTGGCCTCAGGATCGACCTGTTCAAGGATTGAGGGATCGTCAATGTCCYAGAGGACGAATACGTCACGWCCTGCGAGTTTGATGGTGAACACAATAAGATTGATCCATTGAGATTTAGATGAAATCTAATCCGCAAATAATTTCGACCAAGAGATAGATCTTACCACCACATCCTGCGGGTGCAGGGGGGAAGTCACTCCACATGATTTCAGAAGTCATCGGGCTGGGATTGACATTGTTGTCAGAATCCTTAGAATCAGAAATATCTGCTATGGGCCGCTTCTTATTATTAAGTGGTGATAGGCTTTTGAGAAGCCAATCCAAACTTCCACGAGGAAAAATATCYCTATCCGATTCTTCTGGAGGATTTGAGAGGAGAATCCTGTAATTCTTAATACGCAAACATTCAAGGCTAAATAGCATGTAGCAGCTGATGTGTTTTGAGACTACCAAAACATTTGCTGGTCCAGGATTATCCAATGACCACAGAAGAATGCCCACCACAATATTRTGAATCATCTCAAGTTCATCATCTGGACGAGCAGAGCGGAGATTTAGATTAATGACATACGTAAAAACGAGAGAATAACAACGAACGGAAATATGTAGATCAAAGTCATACACATAAAAAGTAAAAAAAAACAAGAATTCACCTTTTGGTAGAAAAGTGATTGGGCTTTTGGCTGCTGAATAAAGTTGGAGCAGATGGTCCGAGTCTTTATTCTTAGSAATCCAAAGAAGGATTGACACATCCCCAGTATAACCAGCATCAAGAACAGCTTTTGTGATTTTCTRTTTAACAAGATCAGGATTGAATAGATCCGGGATTCGATAATCCCGGACATCCCAAAAGACGCCTGTATTAGCATCTGCGACGAGACGGAATAAATAATCAGGGTTCGTGAATTGATTAGAAATTTACCATGACACAAATCTAATCCACATATTTTCGACCAAAAGATATACTAGCTCTTACTTACTGCAGAATTCTCCGGACGGTTCAGGACTGGTTCGGTCGATGCACGCCTTCTGGTCTTCCAACTTGGGGAACGGCTCACTAGTGTCGAGCAGCACCATGGTTTAGTTCCCACGGAGAAATTTATGCAAAAGAGTGGCTGGCTATTTGTAGCGGATATTTTCGATTAGGGCTAGGATATTTTTCCAGACAGTATCTTATTAGGCTGGGAACTCTTTACAAACTATACCAATTTACATGGATGAGGATTTCAAGTCGGTGATGTCTTAGGTAAAATTTTATAACTCCAACAAAAGGATTCTCAAATACATGACAATCATCAAAGTTGTAATTCCATCTCCTATACATCTTCTCACCTGAATGGTAAAGATTAATTATGTCTCTCTTCTCAGCAGTTAAGAGAGAAAAAAATATTGAATGTTTCATATTCCACCTTCCTAAGTATGTCTCTCTTCTTCAACAGTTTTCAACTAGAAAAGTGACCAGCGTAATGTGTTATGCGAATTAACACTACAGGATACGCATATCCGAGGTTGGAGAACACTGCTTCATCTGCGGAGTGGGCGATCACTGTGAAAATGGCTAGAAGCTAAAACATTAACGTAGCTCCTTGAGTATCGTTTTAAGAGTGATTATCAAAGATCGGTAGCTTGTTGTTTGGGTCGTCTCTAGTACCAAAATTAATGTCATTAACTTGGATAATATCATCTGATTAATATACAAGGCAATCTCAATACCTCATCGGCCGAGGCAACCGCTTGGTGCGAGGATATGGGCATTGAACTATAGACACACTGTTGGACCAAGTGAAAATCATTAGCAAACGGTGCAAAACTGCAGTCTCTCCTACACATGGAAGCAGCATAACACAAGATCTGGAAATGTCAATCTTGATGTGCAAATATGAAGATTGAAGACAGAAACCAACAAACAAGGAGCACCGTACATATAGACACTAAAGGCATTCATTGATGAACATATACAAAAACTGCTCACAAGGGGGATTCGGCGAATCATAATTGTGGATCGACATCGTCGTGTTGGTTTAAGAAGCGGAAACCCATAATGTATCTGTACTCTCCGGTGCCAAGACAGCGAGAGCAATCACATAATCCACTCCCTCCACAGCTCTTGCACCTATGACCAACCAAACACCCAAAAATCTGTACTTGTTTAGTTTTATGAATCAGAGATTCAAAGCTCAACAACATTTTCTTCTTCAACTATTTATTTACCATTTGGGCCATTCTCCTTTAGGAAGCATCTCCATATCCACGCAATTAGTCCTCCCTTGAATCATCAAAGCAAGATTAATACGAAGCAATCAAGCATATGAAACATTTGAAGTTGAGAAACAGAGAGAGATTTTCCATTCAATTACCTTTCCCGCTACAATTGAAACAATCTACTCTTCCAGTTCCATGGCAGATTACACATCGGCCTTTCGCCTTTCTCCTCGCCACCGTCTTAGCACCGGACTGTTAAAAACGCCGATTTCACTCAGCACAACTTGATTCTCATTTTCATATCGAACTCTGGAGATAGAAAAATTCTCACCTGAGTTGTGACTATCCATGAAGGTTTGTTGAGATAGAAACTAGTTTTTCCCTGCGTCGATTTCGAATTCGGAACGCCTTCTTGTGACGTCACCGCCGGCAGCCGCAGACACGCGTTCGCCGCCATCTCTTCAGTACCAGAAAAATCCATTTCTCTGATTCTCTTCCTCATTTCCAGTTTCCGATTCTCTCTTGGGCCCAAGGCCCATACCTCTACTAAGTCTTTGTATCAAAATAGCCAAACCGGGCCTCAAGTGATGTTAATTTGGTTAGTTTTTACCAAACAAACCAAATTGAACCGATTTTAAACCAAACAGAACACAAAACTGACGAGTATGGAGCAATCAATTGATGTTACTTGACCAACAATTCAAAATTATACACATTTGTATTACTTTCTTGTCCAAATACTCAAGATGTCTCTCTTTCATTGTACTTTTTTTCTTAAATGATTTAGTTACAAGCAACCAAAATTGGATACAGCAAAAATATATTAAAAAGACCAAAAGTATAGAAAACAGAACAACTTCCATTTGTTAAGAATTTTGAATTCCATCATCCCATCTTTTGCCAACCTGTCGACTATAATTAAAGCCCCACATGATGATTTTGTTTCCCAAAACCTCCA